CTTTTCATTTCCTGCAGGCTAGAAGAAGGACTAAATAAGAGGAGTAATAAAATACCCTATGAATTTTAAAATACTGTCAGTCAACCCAGCATGAAGAAAACCTGTTCATTGAAATTCATTACATTATATTGACAAGGTTTAGGGTTTTTTTGGTATCAAAGACATCATTATCTTAAAATGAAAGCTCCTTAAGATCAGAGACCTTGTGTTTATGCAATAGAGCTTTTATAACTATAATTCAAATGTCTTTTGTAAGGTAATGAAATGCTTTGTAGCTAGGATGAGTAAATATTAATTATTAAACATTATGAAAAAATTATCACTTTGGGCTTGCAAAGTTGAGGCCCACAGAGCCCCTTTGATGTTCATTTATATGCCAAGCAAGGCCATGGGAACAAGCCTTGAATCTGACGTTGTTTTCCGATAAGTGGAGAGACCGTTTGAAAGTTACTTTCTTTACTGACTTGGTCCACTATTTCTTAGAATTTCTTAAAAATGAAACGAGGCCAGCCCAGTGGCGCACTCAGTAGAGTGCGGCGCTTGGGAGTGTGGCGGCGCTCCCACTGAGGGTTCGGATCCCATATAGAGACCGGTCCCCTCACTGGTTGAGCGCGGTGCGGGCACGACACCGAGGGTTGCGATCCCGCTGCTGGTCGTGGTACGGGCACAACACCGAGGGTTGCAATCCCATTACCGGTCACGAAAAAAGACAAAAAGGAAAAAAAAAAATTAAAATGAAAGAAAAAAAAATTTAATGTCAAGAAACTGTAGTATATGAATCTGAAAAAACTCATTGTCTGTTCCTTTGCATGAATCACAATGACCACTGTGCTCATATCATTCTTTCCAGCTCCCATAGAGAGACCACTTAGAAATATTTAACAATAGATCTAATGACTATACTCATTGATGTCTGTTCCACCAAAATGTTTTTTCCAAATTTCTCAGCATTATTTACTCACTCCAAGGTTTTTCATGGTCATTCTACTTTCTGTGCCTTGTGGCTCAGCCTGCATGGGAAAATTGGTCCCTCCAACATATCCTTTTCCTTTAGAGTTTTGTGAAATTGTACATTTTGATGTAAACTGTTATTTCTATTAAAATGTGTATTTAATATACTTGTTTGTAGTTGATGTAAGTAAAGAATTTTGAAGAAACTATTGGTCAGTGCAGGCAGGGTTAATTAAAGGTTATTTAAAGTTCAGAATAGATTATAATGTTTGTATATCTGAATGCATTTTAACCAGAGTGCAGGGTTGTTAATAGATGAATCTTTGAAGGTCATCATCTATGCCAAAAATATTTCAATCTTCAGGAATATCTGATCTAGTCATATATTTATTTTGACTCTATGATGCTTCATGATTTTATAGAGGCTAGATAAATAGTTTTCATTAAATCGAATGTTGTGGAATGGGAAATACTTTTGAGAGAGACAGAAAAGTGTTTTGTCATGCAAGGACAAGGGAGGGCCTCATTTTAACACAATTGAGAAATGAGGAAAACCCATAGGAGATGCTCAATCCCCTGCAAAGTTGAGGGGAAGTCAGTTGAGTGTCACTGTCCACTACCCTTTCACAAAAGCATTCTTTCTGAGACATCTTCAGATGCAGGGAGAAAGAAATGATGTTGCAACTGAGGTTCACACTTAGAGGATGCCTGAGGGTATAGACAGAATCCAAACATTTAGTCTCCCATCTACTCTCCATATCTCACCACCTTGAGATGACATGTGGGTCTTTTGATAAAGAAAGCAGCATCAGAGAGTGTCACATTTTTAAAAATTCAAAATCCCATTGGTCAAGAAATTCAATTGACATTGGGATTATTGCCTCTGGCTTATAAATTGTTTCACTAAAAATTGTTCATTAGTATTGTATTTTCTTACATTTTACATGATTCATATTTCTAACTAACTAATAAGAGATTTGTTCTTTTGTTCAGGCATATCCTGCATTTTGTCTTTCTCTTCATTCCTAGAGTGACTCCACTTTAGGGGAAAAAAACGTTAATTTCTCTAAAGGAACAATTAAACTTATATGCAGAGAGAGTACGGTGACAGATCATTACAACTAAACCATCATGATAAAATCTAACTAGAGTAATACAAGGAATAGCTAGAAAGTAACTACAACTTCTCTAGCATGGTGAAAGAATAGTTAGAATTAGTAAAAATTAAAGTAAAATAGTTGATTAATTTTTAATCACATTAACCTATACTAATACTCATATAACTCTTCATGTTTAAATGACCTTTATGTAAATGAAAAGTTAACTGTTTATGCAAGTAAATCACCAGTGTTTGTATAAAAGCCATGAGACTAAAATCCTTTCTTGCCAGCCTCCCACTGAAGGTATTGGGTGAGCCTTGAAAGATGATCTGTTACAGACTCCACTTGGAAGGAGGGCATTCTAGAGAGAGAGATGATAACATAAAGAAGCACAGGATGAACTCGAAAAATGTAAACAAGGCCCTTACAGAATGGAATGTAACATAGTCTGGCCCAAATGAGGATAACAGAAGAGAAGACTCAAAAATTAGAATTGCTGAGAACTCTGGTTGCTTCACTAAGAAGTTTTGATGCATTTAATAAGAAATGGGGAGATTGGGGGAATTTTGGATAGGACAGAGCTTTAGGAAGATAATCCAGTTGATAATATGTTTCACATCTGCTGTGAAGTATGCAAAAGAAAAGATTTCCATACTCTTTCAAATCACCCCATTTTGCATTAATAGTGTAAAGTAAAACTTTTGGTTGAAATAAATTGACAAAGATTAAAATGTGGTTTAGAGATAATTTTGGATAATGATTATTCATATGCTTTTATTATTCATGCCATGAGCATAGAAAATTGGTTCATCTTTCAAGTAGCAGTTTGTTATGTGAAGCTGTTGCAACATGGATATAAGTAAAGGATGTGCCATTAATGCATGTCAAAGTCTGCTTCACATTGTAGGTTGAGAAATTGTACCAACAAAAAAGGCCAGGTAGTTGTTTCACCAGAAAATCTATGGGTCTCTAGAAAATCTGAGGAAAATCACCAAAAGTCAGCTTTCAAGTTCTAAGACTTTAAGATTTTAAATCATCTCTAACTAATGCTGATGATGTGACCCTTTGGGATTGAATCATTTGATTTGGAAATCATAAGAATTGTGGAGCAGTTAATTGAATGTTAAGGTCAAGCAGATTTATGCAACTAAATGTGGAATTTCCATTTTTGCAATAAGTGAATCAGATTTCATGTTTGGCTTTTGATCACTTAGTAATGAGTCACTTGATTGGTACTCTAATGATCCCTAAATTAAAAATTATAAAAGAAATATGAAACTCTGTATTCCCAAGAATTAGTAAAATGGCTCACATGAATTTTATTTCATTTTTAAAATAAATAGATATTCATGGAAAATAATTTAAAGTACTATTATTAGAAATAATAAACCAAAATATTTGCTTTCTGAAAATAATTTATCTATGATGTTTTAAGTGCAATGGTATTTATTGATTTAAAACTATCTGCAGCTATAGTTTATGTAAAACTCTTACAGTGCAACTACACTTACAGACTCTGTGATAACTCCCACCCTTTTAAAATTGGATTTTTATTATGCCCTAAAGAGTAGCCCAATCATCATGTCTTCTGAACTCAAATTTCAACAAGAGTATCTTCCCTTGGGTTGCTGATAAGAGCTGTCAGTGATATTTCCCTGTAAGGGACAAGCTATGTTGTCTATGTTAGGCAGGCACTGTGAGTTAAGCCTTGCCTCGTTAAAAACAGTCAGGATTCAATGTCCTTTTGAATTTTTGATTCATTTTTGCAAATACCAAGAAATGTGTTAATATTCTTGGAGATGGCTGTATATCTAAGGTAATTTTTTTTATAAGAGGATAAACTGTTCTCTAAAGCACCGAAAATGTGATTTCTCTTTAGCTATTGTGGAGGGGAGGGAGGAATAGCTAAAGTAAAATAAAACAAACAATTAACAATAACAACAACAATAACAAAAATACACCTTTCTTTTCATGCTGATACTGCTCATCTGCCTCCGAAAACATGCAAGGTTTGAAAGACACATGAAAGAAGCCACAAGAGTTATGACTTTGTACATTGCATCCCATCAGAGTAATGTCTTTCCAGATCTCGATTTGCTGGGGTTGTCAGTGTGAATGCTTGACTTTCTGAAAAGAGAAATAAAACACCTAACCTCAAATCCACTGGACCTAACCAAGGCTTGTACTATGTCTGTATGACCTAGTATAAGTCAGCTTACCAGTGGCCTTGGTTTTCTTACCTCTACAAATGGAGAGAATGCTTCCACACGACCGTCCAGGGATAATAACTGCTCATAAGCAGTTACCAGAGAGAAAGAGGCCTTCAGAAGGCCGCTGAACCAACCCTGCAAGGGAATTGTAAAGCCCTTTTTAGCAGAGCAGACCAAGAGTCTCTTTGTTGACCCTCGTAGGAAACCAGGGGTTCTTCCTGTAGATGGATGAGAACCCTGACTGAAGCATTCATCCAGGCCAATTGTAAACCTCACTTGGGCTGTGTGGACCAATAGAACAGTCAAGTATACAAGGTGATTAATAATTGTGGTGCTGACCCTGTGGAAGTATTGGGGGGGGGAGTGTCACTTGGTATATCCTTCAGGATCCTGGGTTGACCCACACTGAACTATACTGTCGAACCTTCCATAGAGCCTCCCCATCACAGATGATCCTAGTCTTTTGTTTGTTTGCTTTTATCCCTTTGTTTCCTGATTGCACCTGCATGCAGCTGGGATACCTATGGCTCTCTGTATTTGGCTCTTGCGGGTGCAAGGGAATAAGGGCCACATTTACATGATAGAACTGCTCTTCAATTCCAGTGCTAGTTTTTTTCTCTTAAATGAATACGAAGGTGGAAGGGAGTCTAGAGCCTCTTTGGTTCTACCCATTCTGTTTCCCTATAGCCAGCATCTTGAAAGAAAAATGCACAGTGAAGTTACTTCCAATTCCTTTTAGGTTAGGATTTTAAACAAGAAGATCGATTTTAGCAAAGTTCAGTCCCGATGTGGTTCCAAGGATAACATCAAACATTCTGCTGGGGGCGGAAACGTAAGTAGAAGCTTCTCTTAGAAGCTGCCTTGATTGCGTGAGCCACCTGCACACCCAGCACCCTGGCTCTTTTCCTGCCTTGCTCCCGGCACACTCCCCCCTTCTCACTGCTGTCCCATAGGTGCCCCTGGTGTGATACTTTGTTAGCCTTGCATTTTTGGTGATGGGCTTCCCATCTGTCCTTGTAAAATCATTAACGAATTTCTCACTTTCGCTTTGGAAAGAAAACCTTAACAGGATGCACCATGGTTTTCTGGAGGATGGCAAACCCACTTCACTTGCCAAATTTGTTTGCTAGCCTTTTTGTCTTTAGGATATTTTCTCATGCTTTCTCTATTCCACTGCAAGAGTCAGCTGGACATACACTTTCTAGCCCCATTTAAATTACCCTTGAGGCAAAGACTGATAGACTTGAAAATGCCCAAAGAGTGCAGTGTCAATCTTCAGTGGTTCATTATTCATGAAAGTTAGTAGAGTCAGCTGGACATACACTTTCTAGCCCCATTTAAATTACCCTTGAGGCAAAGACTGATATACTTGAAAATGCCCAAAGAGTGCAGTGTCAATCTTCAGTGGTTCATTATTCATGAAAGTTAGTATATCATTTAGAATGATACAAAACTGGTGAAGCATGGTTCATCTATAATTCAAAGTGAAAGGATTCAAGTCCCTGTATATGCTTTGTCTTGATGAGATTTTTCCTGTCTCTTTCATTTAGTGGAAATAATGTACTATGAGAGGAAGGGAAAGATGAATCTTAAGTGTGGTTGAGGCAGAGCTGAAATGGTCAGGCAAACTCAAGCTAAAGGAAGCATGGTTCTTCATAAAATAAGAATAATTTTTAAAAGGTGAATCAGGTTGACTCTACAGATCCTGTTAACTAAACTTCACGTTCTGATAATCTGTGACTCAAGTAACTTACAGGTTTATTTGAACCTTCACTTGTCCCATAACTCTAGGTTACTTGCTCCTCAACTGGACAGAAATGGAGTCAGGCAGTGAAGAAAAAGAGACACAAGCAAGTTCCTTCTGTGAGGAACTGTCCCCTGACAATCACAGTAGCTCCACTGAATATAAAACTCACTGTTGTGGAAAGTTAGTTAAAATGTTTACTAGGCTCCTTCAAAGACCCTGAGCTAAGGGTCAACATTTACACTGAGTTGGTTGCCCTCCTCGCTGTTGCTGTGACTGTTAAGTGCACACCACGTGGTAGTCTCACATATTCTTACAGCAGCAGTCCCAGTCCTGGTAAGTAACTTGAGGGCATCAGAGGATGGACCCAGTTTTCCTCTACTGCAGGTGCTGCTGGTCAAAATGCCTAAGTGGGAAAGGATAGATTGGGATAACTAAAGATCTTAAAGTGAGTAGGGGAGCTTCAACCTCCAAAACAATTGTCTTCTTTACAGTTTCCTGTAAAGAAGAATCACCTCTTTAAATATGCAGAACCCTGGCCCCATCCCCACAGTGCCTGATTCAGTAATTCCCAAGTACTTCTGATAAAATTGGATAAAGGACCACATTTAGAGAAGCACCACTGCAAATACTGGAAAATGAAATACTTTCAATAAAACATGAAGAAGAAAATGTTGCTATCATTTCATTATTTGGTGTGCAGGAAAAACCCCGTTTAGCCAAGGCACAATAACAGTGTAGGAAAGCACATTTAGAATTTTCTTCCTTTTTTGTCTTAAAGCAATGCTGGTCTTCTTGTAACTGTGAGCAACATTGGCCACTTTTATGTAAAAATCGCTTTATAAAGAATAATTTGTTTCTTCTCTTGGCTCTTTGCTTATGGAAAGGTTTAACAC